AAAAAAAAAATTGAGAAATGTGTACGAAGCTACGTAAAAAAGAAAATGTATTCCAACAGCATTGGAACTCCAAGCTGGAAATTTCTCCTGGAATTTCTCACATACCTGCACATAACCGCGTGATTTTTGTCTCCAAGCGCACACCCGTACTCACAGTAAAATGCACACAAAAATCCCAAATCAAACGGTCCAACATTGAAACGGACATTATTTTTAAAGCCCACGCGCTACGCACTTCTTTTGCAGACCTCAATGGGACTATGAAAAAAAAAAAAAAAAAAAAAAAAAGGTTTTAAAAATTACAAGACCACAGAAGTGTGGCTGCGGTCCAACACGAGAGAGACATTATCCAAAATTTACAGGCGCCGATTAAAGTTCGCAACCCAGCAAAAGCTCGCGCGTTAAATCGAGCAGCTCGCCACTCTCCGGAACTTTTGATCCGGAAATCCTTTTTTCCCAACGCTGCACCAGGACCTCCCGGATTAAAACCCGCTCCAAGCACTCTGTTCCCGCATTCGCCCGAAGTAGGGCTTCATTATCGAAGGGGATTTCATTTTCCATAAAACTTTCATCATTTCCCAAACTATGCGCGAAAAGCTCAAAATTCGCGATATATACTTTCCGAGCAGAACGAAATTCCCTTCGCCGGAAAAAAAGGAAATTCCCCGCATTCCGGGACCACTCGGTGAAAGCTTTTTTCACGGATCGCCCGTCACGAACACGCGTTCTGTATGACTTCGATCACGCGTGAAAATTCATCTTCCACCTCTTTCTTTACAGGCACTTTGTGTGTACATATGCACACACTCACCAGCCCAAGCTGTACAGCTTAACATCGTTGTCGCCACACTGCTTTTTTCATCGTCTTCTCTCTCACTCTCTTTTTGCTTCTTGGTCCATGATTGGCTCGTTCTCTGACTCGCAAAATCGACCCGTTCTCCCCTCGTCGATACGTTACATCCATACGTACAAGGCGAAAAGCCCACAATATAGTTTTAGCTGTCCCTTTGCAGCCATAGTGCAATTAAAGGCACCATGCTTTATTAAAAGGCCAATGAGAGAGTAGGCACGTACATGTATGACGCAGCTGCTCGCAATGGAATATTTAAAGGAGACCAGGAGAACGTGTCACTGATCCATGTTTGATGAGTTCTTTGAACCTCGTCGTCGCGGGTTGTGTACATCATATAATGTATCTATACCCAACAGCCCTATATACACGTGATGTATACATTAGTAGTTGTATAGTCATGCGGTTAAATGCACCTGTATACATATATACATGTGTGAACTTTCCAGAGTTACGAGAGCGCCGGGCTTTTATGTGTAACGACATGAGAGAATAAAAGAAGAAGGGGGTTGAGACCCAGTCACTCGTGCGCGCTACTTCTCTCTATTTCTGGCCCGCTTTTTTTTTTTTTTTTTTTTCAGGAACGCGCGCGATACTTTTATGTAGGGTATAGACTGCATGGTATCACACATGTATACGTGTGTCCCTTTCCTCGATTACAGTTTTTTCATTTTTTTCATTTTTTTTTTTTTTCTGGATTTTCGCGGGATGAATTTATGCCCCACTTCGCCGGCTGATTCGCGAGCGCGGAAGTCTGCATTAAAGAAAGAGCTCTGAATTAATCCTTCGCGTTCACTGGGAGATTATTCGGGTTAATTAATTGCGCATTGCTCGAGTTTTGGTGTACATGTACGGAAGGAGTAAGGGTGTTGTTGATCTTTGCGGGGGAGTTTCGAAAGGCTGAGTCGAGGCGGATTAAAAGTAAACTTCACCCAGTGAATTGCTCACGATTGTGTCGGGAGTCGAGTGCCATTTGATAGGAGATGCGATTTTTTTTTTTTTTTTTTTTTTTTTAAGTGGCGATGAAACGCGTAGGTTTCGATTTATGCGTCGGATTTTGAACTGTTGTGGTTTTTATGGATGTATGTAGTACATAAAAGAGAATTGCGATGCAAAAAAATTTTTGCCAAATTTTTCGTGGTTACTTACTGTACAAACGGTCATTATTACCGTAAAATATACCGAATTTTAATGGTCAAATGTTTGCTACATTTTTTCTGTAGTTTTGAGGTGAAAACCGAGGTGAAAACTACCACAAAACTTTCTTTTACATTATTGTGTTCACGAGTGTTCCAGATTTTCAATATAAGTTAAAACTAAGATGTATTTTTCGCGTATTCTAGTACAATGTAAGTTTAAGTTAGTGGATTGCGTGTCATGAGGCGAAATATTTTATAGTCGATAAATCATGTATTCATTATAGACTCAGTAACACTAAATTCGTATGTATATTTCTAATGACTATTTATCAAGTCTACTGATGAAAATAGTATACCCACTGTGCAAGTACCTCTCAATTAAGCAGTTTTGGATATAGTAAAATAATAACAAATGTATAAATTTACATAAATTTAATTTATAAACAAATAAACAATTTTTTTCGACATGTTTTTTACTGTTCAATATGGTTATTCGTTTTTTAAAATTTTATAAATAAAACAATTAAAATTCCAACTGTTTAAAAGATTAACGACTCAAATGATTTTGATAAAACTGAAATACTTTAATCAGAATTTAAAGATTTTATTTACATAGGTTTTAAATTAACTTAGTATCAGAGTATCATCTAAACTACTCTTAGAAAATAGGTGATATAGTCACGTGTTACTGATATTTAAAAAAATACTTCAAATCAAATTTACTGGCCAAGTTTAATTCCTTATCCATACGATTAATCAAATTTTTTTACTAAGCTGGTTATTTGCAATACCTACAATTTATTCAAATGTATGTCGTAGATACGAACAGGAATAGTAGGAATCAGCGATGGCAAAATCAAGCCAATACCTACAAGACTCCATCTCACGATGGAGGTCCTGAAACTTCAGCGTGAAGAAGTAGAGGTAATGAAAAAGTTGCTTGATTACGGAAAAATATTCATGCATATGAGGCATAACTGCTACATGTGTACCAGAGCAAAAATAATATAGTTACGATTTATATAACCTCGATAATTTTTATAAATTCATTTTTATTCCATTTTTTCAAAACAAAGTTTTTTCAAATTTTTTAAAAAATTTTTTCGTTTTTAAAATTAAAAAATAATTTTTTTATCAAATAAAATTTTTACACCTTTAAATTTTTTCAAGATCTGTAACTGATCTTGGCTGCAAGAGTTATAAACTTCACACGTTATCAGACGAAACTGATTTTATTGGCTATTTTCATCGTTGTTTTAATTTTTCTTCAAGAATCATTACTTTTTACTCATAAAACTCATAAATAATTGTATTTTGAAAATTCTCTAAAATATTGTTTGCATTTTCTACTTTACAATAANAAAAAAATAAAAAAAGGCAAGAGAGTAACAAAATATTTATAAGCAAAAACAAGCGCCTTAAATCGATCTAGGAAATTTCATATATAACTGATTAGGGATTGTCCTCATGTAACATTACAAAAATTTTTTTTTTTTTATCTTTTCCTGCCAAAAACTGTGAAGTTTTATCACGACCATTTCTTATGTGTATCTAATCAAAGATAACATTAAAAAAAAATTTAATACATGAATCTCAAGTCATCAATTAACACGATAATTCAGTATTAATATTTTATAGTTTTTAATTTTTTGTCTGTATGAAATTAAATTTATAGCAGTTAGATTATTATTAGTTTTCGGCTTCGCAGTAAGCCTTATGTATTCATAAAGGTAAAGTATTCAAAATAAAAATTCTTTATCAATACTCTGCGTACGTGACTTTAGAAAATTTTAACTCTCCATTATTTGGAATTCCAGTGAATTAAAAACAAAATACTTTTGTTATCCTCGTTACGTGTTTTATCTGCATTCAGTCACTTTCAACTTTTATAGCTACAGGGAGATTTGACGTTATTTTTTAGTGCTAGATAAAGTAGACTGTAAAGGCCAATACCAACGGACCTATTGTGCTGAAAACAGTGTGAAACAGTATGCGTAATGGTCCAAGTACTATGGCTATATCACAAAAAAAGGTAATCTGGACTATAAAATAAATTTCTCACTTTCAAACTGAGAAAAAAGTTGGATGGAGTTAAATGTCAAAGGATCGATTAATACCATATTTTACAGTAAACTTTTTTTCCTATAACTATTATATGATTATTATTGTATATTACATTATTATTACTTCGATAATTACGACTTCGTACAAATTACAAATACTAAAATAGTTATCAATGTTTATTGCATTTCTATAAATTTTTTATTTTTCAAAAGGGGGTTGAGACCCAGTCACTCGTGCGCGCTACTTCTCTCTATTTCTGGCCCGCTTTTTTTTTTTTTTTTTTTTTCAGGAACGCGCGCGATACTTTTATGTAGGGTATAGACTGCATGGTATCACACATGTATACGTGTGTCCCTTTCCNTTCCATCAGCTCCGAGGATCCAGCGACGATGGAAAAAGCAAGCTCAAACTGCATTTCCAAGAGCACGATAGCATTGCTATTGAAACTAAGGTAAGTTCCATGTTTTAGAGACAAAAAAAAAAGAATTTACATTTAATATTTGTAGCTTGGTACAGTGATAGTCAGCAACAACAACCAGATGTGGCAGAGCTACAGGCCAAGGTTCTTGGCTCTCAAGGGTCCGGATCTGCTGCTCTTCGAGACACCATAACCAAGTAACAAATAGTCAATTTTTTTTTACGCAAATAGTTACCATTTTGAGCATCTTAAACGTATTTTCTTTATGATACGAACCTCAAGAGTTTACGAATCCATGACTTTCACTAGAAGGATGTAAATTAAAATGTAAATATGAGTTGAGTTTTACTAAAAACAACCATAGTTAATTGAAAAAAAAATACCAATGTTAATTTTAATAAAAACCTATGAAAAATCTCTAAAAGCACATTGGCTTGATCTAATCTCAAATGTTGTAATCTTAAATATAACTTTTTACCATTAAATAAACCAATTAAAAAATGCAACAATCAGAAAGTACATCTAATGTTGATCCATTTTCAATCTACCAAACTCACCGTTTCAGTTGAATCAATTTTGATTCGTAGTTTAGCAAAGCCAATTATGTAAGTGATTGGTACCATGTTAACATCATGTTGAATTTTTTCCCACTTATTTGACATAATTTCACACTTTTTGCTCTGGTACAAAAATGCGAGGCACCACTGTGGAGCAGTCACCAAGTATGTCCCATCATTTCCGTGCATTTTAACGAATTTTTCCAATTTCCAGCAAACGAACCACAAGATACCCACGGATACGAAGGAACGAATGGTACAAATAACGCGTCAGAAGGTGGGTGGGCTAGGCTTGAGTATAAAAGGTGGAGCGGAACACAAATTGCCTGTCCTCATATCGAGAATCTACAAAGGCCAGGCAGCTGATCAGAGTGGACAGCTCTTCGTCGGCGATGCCATTATCAAAGGTGAGAGCGATGGCTCATTGATCCGCTAAAAAAAAGCCGATCGGGCACTCCGTCCAATTAATTTTAGAGAGGTGCTTATCGACAAGACGGAAAATACAACGATTTAGCAGATAAAAGACTTGATTACCCACTTCATTATACCGTATACTGTTCCAAATTTATTGCACTTTATTTTCGTACATGTACAACGACTCATTTGTGTACTTATCCTATAAGACGGTTTATTTTGGTGACACTTTCAGAACGCATTAAAACAAATACAAAAAGTGCTTTTGTGTATGCTCTTTCTCACTTTCTCGTACAATAGATGTATTGGGTTAATGTTTTTTGTTTGCAGTAAATGGAGAATACATAACCGCGTGCAATCACGACGACGCTGTTAATATTCTGCGAAATGCTGGTGACATCGTAGTTTTGACTGTTAAGCACTACAGAGCGGCGAAGCCATTTTTACAAAAGACAGGTGCGTATAATTTTTTTTTTTTTTTTTTTTTTTTTTTTAATACCTATTTTAATAAATTATTTAGTTTCACAGTTAATTTTAATTAAGTGTATGGATTATGGAACTTAATTTGAAAGTACCTCATTAATATCCCCAGTTAACCCAAAGTGTTATCCCAGTCTCTAGTCAATGGTAACGTTCCCTTTCGACACTTGATGAAAAATGTATCGACCAATCGCAAATAGCGTGTTATTTATGGTGTTATTTCCAACTTCGAAGAGTTGCGCAGGGCGCGGTGTAAGGACGATCGTTAATATGTAAATTCCGAAGGGGATTGATTTTAATTCACCTCGCGACGATGACAAAGAAAAATTTAAATAATTCATGCCCACCCACGAGCGTCCACACGCGATGATCCGAATTAACAATGCACCCCACCGGAACGACCTTCGACTATATAATTATTCGTGCCGCAGAAAAAGAAGAAAAACTGGACAACGCCAGCAACGGGGCCGCAGAGGACGGCTGGGTGTCCCCGAGCAAGCTGCTCGCGAGCAGCCCAAAGTTGGGGGGTGGTCACAGTAGGCAGGGCTCGAACGCCTCGACGAGCTCCGCCAAACAAAAAAAATGGGTCGACGTCGTCACAGGTACGCCTCGTGAATTCTGGGTTTTCCCACGAGCGAGGAACGACTTTGATGTATATACGTATATTCTTGCAGTGCCCTTGATGATGGCGTACGTCACGAGGTACATATTCGGCACTGATAAACTCCGACGCAACGCCTTCGAGGTGCGAGGCCTCAACGGCGCGCGGACGGGCGTCATTCACTGCGACGACAATGCTATTCTCAGCCAGTGGCTTAAATATATTTCCGACAACATCACCAGCTTGACTTACCTCCAGGTGTGCTTTTTTTTGAAAATTTTCGCCACCAGCAACTTCTCCCTCGTTTTTATTGTATACACACTTTTATTGAACTTACTTTTCAGTCTGTTGTTGATGGAATGGATGGAAACTTGCGATTTATTTTTAATCTAACAATTAAAATTCTAAATTAGCTAAAAATGTAGTTTTTCGACAAATGTGAGTTCTCAATTTTTCACGTGCATTTATTAAGTCCGGTCACTTTAATTTAACCGCGCGTCAATGGCCAGTCTTACCTTACTCGACTGCATCTACTTTGTCTGCCTGTTTATTTAATAGTAGATCAAAATAACAACCAAAACGTCAAGTAGTTATAAAAATACGATTTTGTTATGAGAATAAAGCAGAGATGTCTTTGATGGAATGTGCTATTATAGAAAAATAATTTAATGAATCCCGGTTTTAACAGTTACACGTACTTAAAAAAAGCTTTTTCTACCAGTTTGTGCAGATTTGTGTAAGTTGATATTTTACACAAAATTACACAAAACGTGTAAAGTCTCGATCACTTCAGCAGACAAACTGTCCCAATAGTCAGTCAATTTTTTTCTTCTATAGGCCTTCGTTATATTTTCAATTGGGTATACACGATCTGACTAACTATCCAATTTATCCGTCTTTTAAAAATTTATATTGGAAAAATCAGCCAAATGATCGACTATTGGGACATAACCGAGTACTGGGACGTCGATCTAATACGACTGTTTTTTAACAGTACATTTGCAAAAGAGTACTTATTTTAATTAATTTTTTCACGAGATTTCGTAACGCTGTATTTTTATTTTCAAACATTTTTTGGACAGATGAAGTTGTACAATCGAAATTTCGGGGTCGGCGAGCGAATCGAGTACATGGGCTGGGTGAACGAGGCGGTCAGCAACAACAACCAGATGTGGCAGAGCTACAGGCCAAGGTTCTTGGCTCTCAAGGGTCCGGATCTGCTGCTCTTCGAGACACCACCGGTAAAACCCAATTTTTAGCCAAAAATCAAAAGTACTTCCGCCAATGGTGCACACACAGGAGCCGAAAAAAAAACCAATGTATCACCCACACAACCGCGCCCAACAATCTAATTATAGACCAACCGAGCGTGTACTCGGCGTGTACATGCATGCACGCGCGGATAATCGATGCTTCGCGCCAATCTTCCCGCTAATACGGCCGAAAATAGCCGGCCTGCGTCTCGTCCCGAAAAAGATATACAAAATCCACGCTCGAGTGACTAATTTACAAACTGAAAATAAAACAGTTTCACCCCCGCGCCGTCCACCTTTTTTCCCTCCATACACCTTTGTTCATCCGAGCATCGGATAATACATCGCACACCCGGTATGGCCAAGCGATCGTTCGACCAAAGCACCGAAAGATCCACACACACACACACACAGAGAGACACTTGATTTTTATGAAAAAAAAGTTAAAAAAAGAAATCTTTACTCCTTCTCTCTGGCAGTGCAACATCGGCGACTGGTCACGTTGCGCCCTGACCTTCAAGGTCTACCAGACCTTGTTTCGGGTGATGCGCGACTCGGAGAACGTGGACGAGCGCCAGCACTGTTTCCTGGTCCAGAGCCCGGGCAAGCCGCCCCGGTACCTGAGTGTCGAGACGCGCCAGGAGCTGCTGCGCATCGAGGCCGCCTGGCACACAGCCGTATGCTCGGCCGTCACGCATCTCAAGGTCAGTAATGCTGTACTCTTTTTTTTTTTTTTTTTTTTTTTTTCATCGTTTATACACGCGTAAATGTGCAACGTGGGTACTCGTGTGCCCAGGAGGGAGCCAGCCGGCGCCTCTCTGCGTATATATGTATATACCTATTTATACGTAGAGACACTTTCTACGGCTCATTAGCATTGTGGGGAGCTCAGGCGTGTTGAATTCTGCATGGACGGCTGGTTGGCAGACCGCCAGGGAAACTCGCGTATGCGTGTGTGTATAATAAACTCGCGCACGATAACGTCAAATGTAAATAAGTGTACGAAAGTACCGCCTTTCTTGCTTTTTTTTTCCCCTGTTTTTGTGTGCCGGGTTTGTTTTACAGGGCTGTTTTACGTTCCCACGCTTATCATGAAAAGTAATTAGCGCGATGAAAAAATTGCGGAAACTCTTGCTCGTGTGTATTATTCATCAAGCCGTTATGTGTTTGTTTTAAAAAATTTTACTTGAAAAAAAAAATATTAAAAATCAATCTATTAATTGAATAAAATTTTGTCGATTGTTTCAAGCATTGGGAAAATCCAGGACCTCCACATGTAACTTTTATACAATTTTCTGGGGATTAGGGAGATTACGGAAGTCGTTTCAAGGTCTTTTCGATTTTGTTTGAAGGTTTACCCTGTGGGTTTTCAAAGAGAAAATAATATACATTTTTTCAATTACAAAGCTGGTCTTTGGTCTAGTATCTTTTTTTTTTTTTGTTTTTTTAAAGTCATCATCTTACATGCATGTATTTCATTTTTTAAGAAATTTCGGCAGTGGATTTGACGAGCCTTTGTTTTTTTGGTGTGGAACTTAATCTCGTTAATTAAGTACTATACCAATAAATGGTTTAATTTTTCACAAATTAAATTTTTTTAAAACTTGGATTCGAGAGTTAAGAAAAATTAAGTTTTTTTATGCCTCTCTAACTGTTCTTATTTTATTCCTAATATTTCAGGATGAATGAAAACAAATCAGTCTTGATACTCATTTTCCTTGTGTATTATCGTAGATGACAAATCTCAAATTGTTCGATTTTTTAGCGTTAAATTATCAAAAAGCACCTAATTTAATCCTTAATGAATAATCCTTTTTACATAAAAATTTTGCGGTTTTACTGTTTAAAACTATTTGGCCTTTTACTTCCACATATTTCGTTAATATATAAATCTTGCAAATACATAAAACAATTCCAGAAATAACTTTGTGTTGGAGAGGCATCTCTACCAAAAATTTGTAATCAAAAAATCAAGTTAGCACAAAACTGCTTATTATACCTTTAATGTCTTACACTTTATAAATAACACTTAAAATATTATTAAAAATTAATTTCTTGTATGTAAAAGTAACTCCTTGTCGTTTTACATATCAATTTATTACTTTGCAAAGTATGTGAATTTTATACGCACATGAACCGAATGTTTCCAAATATTTCACCACTCATTGAAATGAATGAATTTCTTTCATCATTCAACGACTACTTTCGTAAGGAAGCTTAAGCTTATAGCCTATAAATTTTAATACACTATTTCTCAGGAACTCATGCCACCTAAGGCTCAACTTTTCTACGTCAAAGCTCAAGTTTTATATTAAAAAGATTTTCCTTTGAATTTCAGAGCAAGACTTTCTCCGTATCACTAAATGGAAAAGCAGCCGGTCTGACGTTAGATTGGTCTCAAGGATTCACTTTGACATTCGAAGGAACGGCGGATCCTGTGTGGAGGTACAAATTCCATCAGCTCCGAGGATCCAGCGACGATGGAAAAAGCAAGCTCAAACTGCATTTCCAAGAGCACGATAGCATTGCTATTGAAACTAAGGTAAGTTCCATGTTTTAGAGACAAAAAAAAAAGAATTTACATTTAATATTTGTAGCTTGGTACAGTGATATTTTAATATAAAAATATAAATATTGTGTTTACATACAAATGATTACACTATAATTACTACGTAATTACCATATTAAAATTATGTTTCAAGTTACACTAATAATTAATACTAAAAGTGTGAATCATATCAAAAATAAATAGTATAATTTTATAAAATATTATAACTTTAATACAAATATTAATGACTACACGTCGTCA